TCAACTCTTCCAACTAACTGAGATAACTTCACATAAATTCTCTTACCTGAGTAGAGTACTGCTCCGCGGAATAATATGGTTACACTGGAAATTAACTGACAGAGATCAGACCGGGGATTGCTGAGAGATACAAGCACAATACGATTGTGTTCAGCTGCATAGTTTCGCAAGCAGTACATCAGTTGAAAACTGGAGATCGGTTCCAAACCGTCACACGGATCCTCTACGATCAACAACACTGAAAAAGGGAAGAGTTTATTCAAGTACCAGATAAGGAAATCTATTTTTGTATACTGTGTGTGGACTGGTGCCAATTCGCAACATCCACTGCCAATATATTAGCCCTGCAAAGGAAAGAGTGGTGAAGGCTCACGGGATTGAGCGCAGCCAGAGCTCTCTTTTCACCATCCGTGCATCAAAGGCCACTCCGGATGTAGTCCAATCCATGCCCCCTCACGAGTCACTTTGTTTGCAGTCATAATGCTGCAATCCTACGGGGTCAAAACTTGGCATAGGTATATGACACAATGTGAAATAAGCTCCTAAATATGTGGCAGAGTGGTAGCTCCCTAAGGCTGCCTTCATACTTTGCAGCAGCGTCCATAAGTGACTAGTAGCGTTCACCGTTACGAGTGTCCGGTAGCGTCAGCGACTAGGAAAGTATACAGGGGGGAGGGCTAGGATCCTCAATAAAAAAGACACTTCTTCACGGACTCTCGAGATGATACAAGTTACAGTTTATTGGATTCTGATTGACGCATCATCACACATCACTTTCATATTTGACAACACATTGTACTCTATTACGATACGTACGATACTCTATTACGATATGTCGGAGACACCGTCTTCTAGGCGAGGGCCATCGAGAGATTCTGCCACGCGGAGGTGATTCAGCGATGCGTTGACTTCTCCGCCACTGTAGACCACCCTGTTGAGCTCCGCCCGAACCCGGTAATCGAGGGGGTTTAGGTCAGGTGACACACTTGGATATTCCTGTCTTCTCAGGTACTCAACGTCCTTCCACAAGTATGTAGGCGAGAGTTTTTCCAACGCCCTTCGATTCCATGTGGTGCACCCAATCCTGTAGCAGTACGAAGTTTCCAAGATGGTACAGGCGACGACATGAAGGCAGGATATTCTCCTCGAGTTGGTCGATGTTGAGCGTTCACTTCCAGTCCGGGATCCACAAAAAAATGTCGGTCCTCCCATTCCAGGAACTTCCGGTCCATACCATCAACCCGCGCCTTGGCGACTGAAGATGATATCCTGGACCGTAGCGACGTTGTCGGAGCTGCTCGATGTTGGAGGTCTTCCAGATCAAGAGTGCTGGTCTCCAGGTAGCTGTCCATGGGTGACTCCATACAAGAAGTTTCGCAGCTGTTTGGAGGTGACATGAATTCCATAGGCCTTCTCCAGTCAGGCTGCGATTGGAGATGACTTCATATTTTGGTGTACATGAAGGTGATGGGCGAGAGCCTGCTCCTGCTTATCGAGGAACATCTTGGGTATCTTCCGCCCTGGTACTCGTATCCACGTCTTCTCTCTGGGCTGCGAAAACTTTGCTGATATGTGACTCGGTCGAAGTGACTTTTTTTTCCCCCCCCCCCTGTAGATATTGGTCTAGCGTTTTTTGCCACCGTCCTCCAGCGTCTACCAGCGTCCGCCAGCGTCTACCAGCGTCCACCAGCGTCTCGAGGGCTAGGGAAGTATAGGTATCGATCTAGCGTCTGCCAGCGTCTACCAGCGTCCGGGAGTGGAGAGTATGGCGCGATAGGAGGGTAGCAGACAGCTGATACCCTCCTATCGCACACTCTCTATCAGTCGTATGCAGCCGGTCGCTATTGCACGTTGGTGGTCGCTGACCGATGCTGGCAGACGGTTGTCGACGCCAAAGTGATACTTTCCTCGTCGCTGGAGCTGCCCGACGCTGGTGGACGCTATTGGTCGCTGGTGGACGGTGCCGCAAAGTATGAACGAACCCTAACTGATTCATTCTCAGAATCTGTCGACACATGTTCCAGATTTTCCGTCGCATTCGTGCCGTATAATGACTATGTTTGAAATAAGAGTTAGTCACCTGGATCTTTTACGAGAGCGTTAGCGATGAGGGCTCGTCTCTGAGCACTAGGAGATAAGTTCAGAAGTTTTTCATGGCCGTATCCCAGCAGATCAAATTGGCGCATTAACATGTGCACCTACAAGTCGAAAGTGTAGACAAAGGTGAGGTGCCAGCAAACACCTGATGCCTTACCCTTTTGTCAATTTCTTTTCTCGGAAGGAAGCTGTCGAAGGTTAGAGCAGCGGTGTAATAGAGAAATGAGCGCACTGTCATGAAGCCTGGACACCACTGACGACCGGACAGAAACGAGCACACTTGTCCATATCTTTCACCTGCAAATTTCGAAGGCTTGGTCAAATTACAGTTGCTATTGAAGCAGTTAGTCAAGGCGGTGCAATAGAATTGGGCCCACTGGCGACGCTTCCCACCACTAGTTGTTTTCTCCTTAGATCGATCATTACCGATCACTATTGGTACAAGAGGCAGCCGAGGAGGACTACACACATGATGATGTATAAACACAATCCTGTTTCGAGCCACCGCTAAGCATAACAGCCCTTGCCCTCCCTGCTGCACGGCTTTGTAAAAGGAAAAAAACAATCAATCCTTCTGTGGGATGTGGCAGGCATTCTGCTTCCAATCAGATTTCTAGCGGCTTACTGAATGCTATGTTTCTATACAATGGCTGCGCCGACCGATGCGCAGCTCGAGGTTCTTAACCTCTCGACGAATCTGGTACCAAGTTACTTTCCCCAAAGCTTAGGAGGCGTTGTTTGCTCAGCAGAAATAGATCTGGGATTCGACCCCTGGACAGCCCACGTGGTAGACGTGCCACTTGCCCCCACACCACC